GATTTCTTTTCAGAAGGAACAGTGTATGTATATTTCATTGCTAAAGAGAGCTTCTGATAGAAGAGGTGAAGGTACCTGGGGTTAGCCTGCTGCTTGGTTTTGTACATAAAGTTTTATTGGAACACAGCCACACCCATGCATTTACATACCATCTAGGGCTGCCTTCTTGCTGCACTGACAGGAGTTGAGTAGTTGCAACAGAGACCCTACCTATGGCCTGCACACAGAACTGTGACTAGAGTAAGGTGAATAAGGCACCTAGGCCACCAAATAGAAGGACATAATCAGTCTGGGTACCAACTCTGAGCAGGGGTGAAAGGCACAGGAAGCAGAAGGTGAGCAGACTCTTGCAGCAGCAGGTCTGCCACCTAGTAATGGAGAATGTCTGGGCATGATAGCAGACGGGAGAAAGAGGATGACCCACAATCTCTTGATCCTACGGTTGATGGGTGAATAGGACTACCAATGAGGAGGACAGGGGAAGCAGTCTCCTTGGGGAACACCATGGCTTTGGACATAACACACATTTGCTGTCTTCAAAACCTATTATTAAATTTATTCTCCAGTGTCAACACATAAAGTCTCAAAGACTCCTTTATCCCCTAGTTGAAGAGCTTTGAGCCTGCAGATCCACAAACATTGCTCCCATCCCTTGGTTTATAAATGCAGAGGAACGATTTGCTCAGTAGACTTGTGTTGTTGTTAAGTGCTGTTGAGTTCATTCCAAGTCATAGGGACCCTACATAGAGTTTCTGAGGAGCTAGCTGGTGGGTTTGAGCTCCCGCCCTTGCAGTTAGCACGCCGGTGTTTATCCTTTAGTGCCACACAACAATCCTATCCCAGAACCCTACCTAAAAATTTATAGAAACCAGGTAAACACTCCCATCGATGCTCAGAGCAAAGAGTGGTCTTCCTTCCTGAAGTTTGTAAGCGTCCTCAAGGAAAATCAACAAGAACCCAAAGAGACCACATCAAAAGTCAACCCCTGAAAGAATAAATAAACACAGCCAGGACAGAAGTCTATTAGAGAGAGAGAGAAATCTGTTGGCATGTCTTCTTCTTGTTGTTGTTGTTGTTGTTAAGTGCCATCGAGTCGGTTCCGACCCATAGCGACCCTGAATAAGATTCCTGAGGAGCAGCTGGTGAGTTTGAACCACCAACCTTGCAGTTCAAATGGCTTTGCAGTCTGGCGCATTAACCTACAGTGCCACACCAGGACTCTTAGATGTGGACAAAAGAGATATAAGAATTTGGAAAGATACGGTGGCTTCCTGTGTTTCCTTTGTTAAATTTGAACTTTTATCCAGCCAAGTATTCAGGGTACAAAGTAAGTGATCTGATATTGCTCCTCTTGCATTGAGTTTCTGGTTTTGCTAGTAGAGAGTATTGGTTCTTGCCACACTATCCATAAAAGTGCAGATAGTTAAGCGCTCTACTACTAACTGAAAGGTTGGTGGTTCAAACACACCCAAAAGCATCTTGGAAAACGGGCCTGGCAATTTGCTTCAGAAAGATCACAGCCTTGAAAATCATGGAGCGGTTCTTCTGTGCACACACATGGGATACCCCTGAATTCAATCACTCCACGGCAACTAACAACAATAGCCCACAGCCCTCAGTCAAAAGAGCAATGCTAAACTCACCAGCTGCTCCTTGGAAACCCTATACAGAGTCGCTCTGAGTCGGAAGCAACTCCACGGCACTTAACAACAGCACCAATGATCATACACAGCTTCTAGTTTGTTGATGGAAAGTAGCTAGCATCCCTTGAAAATCCCCAAATACTAAAGTCTTGATATGCTAAGTCCTGGAAAACTGGCAGAGGCTGAGGTTCAGACTTTTCAAGGACCATTTCTGCTTTTGATGTAGATATATGTGGCCTTGAACTCACACCACATTCATTACCATTGAGTCCAGTCTAACTCAGAGTGACCCTGCAAAGCAAAGTAGAACTGCCCCATAGGGTTTCCAAGGCTGTAACCTACATGGAAAGCAAATGCCACCTCATTTTCCCACCGAGTAGCTGGTGGGTTTGAATCACCAACCTTTTGGTTAGCAGCTGAAGGCTTAACCACTGCACCACCAGGGCTCCCATTGATATTAACAATGTTGCCATGATAGCAAAGACAATGTTTGACTTCCTACTTTGGAAAGTAGCAATTGGGATTGTAAACGCTCATGCGCGGTCATCTCAAGAGCAGATCTTGGTCTCTCCTTGTCTGGAGGAAAGCAGAGTGATGAAAATTGAAGATGCTTGGAAACAGTTAGTCTGGTGGACTAATAATGGACCATGTGAATATCAGTCTCCACAACACTGAGACCAGAACTAGATAGTGCCTGGCCACTGTTACCAATTGCTGTGGAAGAAAGGGATCACATCAGAAGGACCTGGATAGAGTGGAAGAAAATGTGGACCAAAATTCAAACTCATGAAAAAGAGACTATGGCCCTTGGCCACCCTTCAGCCCTGGAACTGAACTCACCCCGTGCCTCAATTTTCAACCAAACCACAGATACGTAGGAAACCCTGGTAGCTTAGTGGGGGCTGTTAACTGCATGGTCGGCGATTCGAATCCACCAGCCACTCCATGGGAGAAAAAGGGAGTATTCTGCATCCGTCGAGATTTACAGCCTCGGAAACCCTATACAGGGTCGCTATGAGCCAGAATGGATTCCACGGCACACAACACAATAGATAGATAGATAGATAGATAGATAGATAGATAGATAGATAGATAGATAGATAGATAGAGGGACAACAACACTAGTGAGATGTGCATAGAATGATCAAAAGGGGTAGCATTTAAGGTCAAAATTCAGTAGGGTTGGGAAAGAAGGGGGAGTGAACACAAGAAACACAGGGAGAAAACAGGATAAGTGATGTTGTGTTGACGGGATTTCAGTGGAGAAGAGACAAAGGGTATGATTTGTGGAATGTAAAACTGATGTTCTGCTCTGTAAACCTTCACTCAATTCACAATAAAACATTTTTTTAAAAAGAGTGGTACATAATAAAAGAAATGAATGCTCAAAAGACCAAAATAAATGTTGGCAGAAAACCTTTTAAAGCTGTTTTCCAGTTGATTTAATGTTAGCTGTTTCTTTTAAAGAACAAACAATCTCAGAATATTTGCCCTTGATCAGGCTGGTTTCATTCATAGGAGCGATGAAAACAAGTACTAGGCGAGATTCCAATTTACTGCTTCTAGTGGGCCTTCTCATTCTGAGTCTAAAAGAAAGAATACATTTAATTCAACTATCAATGCTTTTCCATACGAAGCTAGAATACAGCCAATACAATGCTTTTCAAGCTTGCAATGTATATGTATACAGATTTTCTCAAGAGTTCCAGAAAGCAAGTAACTGCAGGTTCCTCACCAAATAAAGCCAGAGATTTCTGCACGATGCCCAGTTCCCAAAATTGTCCTTCCTTAACAAATTGTATCCGAAGCCTTCTGCTAGACAGTTTGTGTGGAGTTCACTTTTCATGTGCCCAAAAAACATGGCTTGAGTATAGATCACAAAGGTGACAATGCAGGTGGCTGGAGATTGGATATTGGGACGAGGAACACAATGAAAAAAGAGCAGACTTTTTAAACTGCCCCTTCACCTCCCAGACTATCCAACACTTTTATTGGGGACCCCTAAGTGTATCCACTTCACTGAATTTCTATCTGTGGGGACTTCAGCAAGTTCTACCAATGAGGGACTTCAAAAGTTTATGGGGAAATGGGATAGAAAGATAATGGAACTTACTTTTTGAAGTCGCCCCATCATGTAACAGTCTTGTTACACGTCATCTAGGCACTCTGTTGTAATTATTTACATACCTTAATCTTCAGTCCTCTCACTTCTGTTCACATTCTGAACCCCTCAAAAGTGAGGACTGGCCCTTTGTAAGTTTTGTACCCAGCCCCTTGTGTGGCTTGTCAAGATGGCGGTGTTCTTGCGGTTGAGTTGGCTCTTACTCATGGTGACCTTACGTATCAACAGGATGAAATGTTGCACGGTCTCGTGCCATCGTATGCTTCAGTCCATGGTTTGGGCTATTGTGTGAATCCTCTCATGGGGGGTTTCCCTCATTTTCAATGACCCTCCACTTCGCCAAACACGATATTCTTTTCTGTTGATTGGTCTTTCCTAATGACGTGTCCAACGTCAGTGAGCAGAAGTTTTGCCATCCTCATTTCTGGGAGTGTTCTGGTGCTATTTGTTTGAAGACTGATGCTTGTCATGGTCCATAATTGATATTTAAATGCCTATTGTAGAGATCAATGCACGGTTCCCCCATACCTTGTTGTCTCTGGGACCTCTGAATCTTATAAACCAATGACTAATACTTTGTAAAACTCTGCATGTCCATGATGATCATTTATTATTTACCTTTGCCCCCAAAATGTTACATTTCTCCACAAAGTTTCTTGTTGTTGTTAGGTGCCTTCTAATCTATTCTGACTCATAGGGACCCTGTCTAGGGTTTCCAAGGAGTGGCTGGTGAGTTTGAACCGCCGACCTTGCGGTTAACAGTCCAGCGCTGGTCCTATAGCCCCACACGAGGATTCCCTTTAAGATTGACTTGAGACAGCTGAAGAAAAATTAGAGGTCTACATTTCTGAAACGTGTGTTCTTTATGCCTGGTGTTGTTGGTAGGTGCCTGCAAGTCAATTCTGACTCATAGTGACCCTGTGAACAGCTGAAGGTCCTGCACTAGCCTCCCAACCGTGCTTATGTTTGAGTCCATTGTTGCCGTCACTGTCAGTCCAGCTCCTTGAATGTCTTCCTCGTTTCCATCTACCCTCTATGAATACCTACTAGTTTCCTTAATTGAAATGGAAACGTCGTTCACTCTGATAAACACAAATGACAACTCCCGATTTGGGTGGATGGATCAGGACTTGGGAAAACAGTCACTTGATTCTGTGTGTAGGTCTGAAATGTGAATGAAAGTGTGCCCAGGACCAGGCTTCCTCTGAAAGTGAATGTTTGTCTTTCCATTCCAGAATTCATCCCACAGGCCTTTGGAATGCCCTTATCCCAAGTCATTGCCAATGATCGGGCCTATAAACTCAAGCAGGACTTGCAAAAGGATGAGCAGAAGGATGCATCCGATTTTGTGGCTTCTCTTCTCCCGTTTGGAAATAAAAGACAAAACAAAGAACTCTCAAGCAGTAACTCATCTCTCAGCTCAACCTCAGAAACACCAAATGAGTCGACATCCCCTAATACCCCAGAACCGGCTCCTCGAGTCAGAAGAAGGGTGAGTAGGACAATGTTTCCTCTGACATAGATGTTAGGAAAAATTAGGATGATCCTTTGCTCATGTGAAACCAGGAAATGTAGTTCAGGTCCAGGGATCAGACAACAACCCCATTCACCATGACTTTACACTGGGCATATGGCACCTGAAAACCATCTCAAAGTTATTGCGTCCTCCCTTTCCTTTGTTATGACTGTGCCCCTTGATATCCAGAACATTCCACATCACCATTGATCCCCATCTGTTGATATCTTCTGTTGTCTTGACAGACTTTCCCAGTGAATTCTGAGGCTTGAGGGCAGGGACTGGTGTTTGACTAATCTCACCATCCCCAGGCTGAGAACTATATTGGCCAAATGAATTGACTATGTGGGGAGGATCTTTGTAAACAATGAGATTTTTCATTACCCAATGCAAGATTTTTTTTTTTTTCTTTTAATCAAATGGTCCTGTTGTTGTTAGGTGCCATCAAGTTGGTTCTGACTCACGGCAACCTTGTGTTCAACAGAGCCAAACACTGTCGGGTCCTGGGCCATTTTCATAATTGTTGCCATGTTGGAGCTCATTATTGCACCACTGTGTCTGGTCATCTTGATGGTGGTCTTCCTCTTTTTGCTGACTTTACCAAGCATGATGGTTTTCCCCAAGGACTGGCTTTTCCTGATAGCATTGCATGTCCAAAGTTTGTGAAACAAATTCTCACCTTCCTCACTTCTAAGGACCGTTCTGACTGTACTTCTTCCAAGATATATTTGTTTGTTCTTTTGACAGTCCATGATATAGTCAATATTCTTTGTGAACATCAGAATTCAAATGTATCAGCTAGTCTTTGGATTTCCTTATTCATTGTCCAGTTTTGTCATGCATAGGAGATCATTGAAAAGACTTTGTCTCGGGTCAGGCACACCTTAGTTTTCAAAGTGATATCTTTGCATTTGAGCACTTTCAAAGAGATCTTTAGAAACTGATCTGCTCTGTAAACTTTCACCAAGTTCGCAATAAAAATTTTGTTAATATACTTTTTAAATAATTAAAAATCAAGAGTCTTTTGTAGCATATTTGCCCAATGAAAGAAATCATTTATTTTCTTGACTGCTACTTCCAAGGGCTTTGATCTAGGTCAAATAAAATCTTTGACAACTTTAATCTTTTCTCCTCTTGTCATGATGTTGCTTATTGGTCCACTGGTGAGAATTTTTGTTTTCTTTATGTTGAGGTGCAATCTATACTGAAGACTGTAGTCTTTAATCTTCTTCAATAGGTGATTCAAGTTCTGTGCACTTTCAGCAAGCAAGACGGTGTCATCTGCATATCACAGGTTGTTAATGAGTCTTCTTCCAATCCTGATGCCAGTCTTATTCATATAGTCCAGCATCTTGAATTCTTTGCTCATAATTGTCGTTGTTGTGAAGTGCTGTGGAGTCAGTTCCAATTCATAGAGACCCTGTATATAGTTTCCAAGGAGCGGCTGATGAGCTTGAACCACTGACCTTGCGGTTCAAACCGACCTTGCAGTCCAGCACATCAACCCGCAGCGTCACAGATTGAATAGGTATGGTTTAAGGATACAGCCCTGACACACATCTTTCCTGAATTTCAACCACATGATGTCCCCTTGTTCTGTTCTACAACTGCCTCCACCATTAAATATTCTGGAATTTCCATTAATTAGTATGTTATCCATTGTTTTGATCCACACAGTCTGATGCCTTTGCATCGTCAATAAAACACAGGTAAACATCTTTCTGGCATTTTCTGCTTTTAGCCAAGATCCATCTGATGTCAGCATTGATATCCCTGGTTTCATATCCTCTCTGACTCTGACTTGAATTTCTGGCAGTTCCCCGTGCATGTACTGCTACAACCATTTTTTAATCATCTTCAACAAAACTTTATATGCATATGCTATTAATGGTATTGTTCAATACTTCCTACATTTTGTTGAAATGAACATAAATACGGGTCTCTTCCAGTCAGTTGGCCAGGTAGCTAGCTTCCAAATCTCTTGGCATAGATAAGCAAGTGCTTTCAGCACAGCATCAGTTTGTTGAAACATTTCAACTGTTGCTACATCAACTCCTGGAGTCTTGTGTTTTTGCCAATGCCTTCAGGGCAGTTTGAACTTCTTCCTTTAGTACCATTGGTTCTTGATCATTTGTTCCCTCCTGAAATGTTTGTGTCAACTCATTCTTTTTAGTACAGTAACAGTATACTCCTTCCATCTGCTTTTGATGTTTCCTTCATCATTCAATATTTTGCCCATAAATTATTTCAATGTTGTAACTTTGAGGCTTGAATTTTTTTTCCACTTCTGTCAGCTTACAAAATGCCAAATATGGTCCTTCCTGTGGCTTTCAGATCTTTTCACCTTTCAGTATAATACTTGACTTTGTCATCCTGAGCTACCCTTTGAAATCTTCCGTTCAGCTTTTTTACGTCATCAGTTCTTCTGTTCACTTTAGCTACTCTATGTGCAGGAGCAAGTTTGAGTTTCATAAGACTTTCATTTTGGTCTTTCTTTCTTTTTAATGAACCTTTTGCTTTGGGGGTACAATGCCCTAGATATCATTCCATGACTGACCTGGTCTTCTATCATTAGTGTCCATTGTATCAAATCTGTTATTCAGGTGGTCTCTAAATTCAGGTGGAATAGACTCAGGCTTGTACTTTGACTCTCATGGACTTGTTTTGACTTCTTCAGCTTCAACTTGAACTTGCATATGAACAACTGATAGTCTGCTCCACAATTGGGACCTAGCCTTGTTCTGACTGATGTTGAGCTTCCGCATTGTCTGTTTTCACAGATGTAATCGATTTGATTTCTGTGCATTCCATTCAGTTTTTTTGGGGAAAAAAAATGTGTTTGCATTGAATAAGTCCTCGGTTTTTAAAAATTCTATCATGTGATTTCTGGAGTCATTTCTACCACTGAGATGATATTTTCCAGCAATGGATCCTTCTGTTTCCAATTTTTGCATTCCAATCACCAGTAATTATTAAGTAATTTTGCCTACATGTTCAGTTTCAGACTGTAAAAGTTGTTCAGTTTCTTCATCTTCGGCTGTAAGAGAAAAAACAACAACAACAACAACAAAAACCACCCCAGGTGATTTGCTCCAGAAATGATTACAGCCTAGGGAGTCCCATGGGGCAACTCTATCCTGTCACAGGGGGTCACCGCGAGTCGCAGTTGACTGTATGGCACCCATCAAAAACAATGCGTGTATATTTATCTCCTCTTATCAAATTGATATTGTGATACTATGATTCCTTTTGCTGAATGAGTACTATATTCTGGGAATGGTTTTATTATTTGTTTGACATATAGAATTTCAATTCAAGTAAACTGGAGGTTTTCAGGCCAGCTGGTTGGTGATTGGCTGAGTCACTTGATGCACATTGCTAACATGTCCTAGGCCACTAGGACACCCTCTCTACTGCCTTTCCTCCACCAAGAGACCCCAAATATTTGCCTCCTTTAGCCATTGATTACCAGCTTCCCTCAAATCCCAGATACTCCCCTCTGAAAATTCCATTTCTTAAACCCCCTTCAGTGTTCAACTCTTCTCTGAGGTTTAGGGGACCATGGCTACTTATTGAGACTTTGGAGGAACACAGAATGATGGAGCACGTGAGTCTAAATGATGAAATGGTTCTTTCAGGTCATTTTTGGCAATAAAACCGAAAGTCTAAATCTGAGGATTCTGGGAATCTAGGGCTTAGACAGTGGGCTTCCCAGTGCCTCCTCCTCGGCTCCCCCGCCTGCTAGGATGCAAGTAGCCAACTTTGTCTATGTCTTCTCATCTATGGTCAAAGCAGATACGGGGAGTGATCTGCTCCCCACTTCTCTGCCTTCTTGCTTCCTAGCACACCAAATCATCTTCCACCAGCCAGCACCTCATCTCTTTGTGGAGGACTTTCTCTCACCCCTGGAGGCTCCCAGCTCAGCAAGTACTGAGACACTAACACTGCCTCCCTGTCCCAGCCAGTAGCTACCCTTAACCAGGGACTCTTGAAGCAGTGTGTAGATAATATCCAGCACTCTCTCTTCTTGGAGTCCTGATGTGGAGCTGTACGATATGAACTGGACTGCTAACAGCAAAGTCAGCTGTTCAAACCCACCAGTTGTACTTTGGAAATCCTGTGTAGGGTCCCTGTGAATCAGACCAACTTGATGGCACTTAACAACATCTCACTCCTTAGCAGGGCTAGCTCGGAAGTGCAGGCTCTCCACTGACGGGCCCTGAGCTCCTATTGACCAAAATGGTCATTGTTAATGCTCTGTTCATTGGCTGCCTTGCCTTCTCCATTCCCCTACGGGCGTTTCCTGGGACCACTTCCTTCATAAAGTGTTTTATGTTGCTTCTGGGGGAAACCAAACTAAGACAGTCTTATGGAATTTGCCTATTTTCAAATCTGCTTCATACAATCATAGTTGATGTTTTTTATTCACAAGATATTGATGACTGTCTCATTCACTGAGTCTGTGATTTTTTAAAATCTGTGTCTGAAGAAATGAAGTGGTTGGGCCAAAGTATTTTAATGTTATGTTTCCCATCTCTCATCTACTTGGAAAATATTGTCTTTGTTGAAATTGTAGCGGCTATTATTTTACCCTTGTTGTTGTTGTTGTTGTGTGCCGTGGAGTCGGTTCTGACTCATAGCGACCCTACACAGGGTTTCCGAGGCTGTAAATCTTTACGGGAGCAGACCGCCTCATCTTTCTCCCGCAGAACCGCTGGTAGTTTCGAACTGCTAACCTTGCGGCTCGCAGCCCAACTCATAACCACTACGCTACCAGAGCTCCTTAGGCTGTGTTGATTTCCTGACTTTTTCAGAAGGCGTTATTTTCCTCTTTTTAATAACCAAAGAGGACAATCAAATCCAGCAGTATCATTTCAAGAGTGATAAATAGTCGTGAGCAAAAGGATTTCTTGGGCAGCATCTGGGGAAGGTTCTTTTTGAGGTTCTCCGTCTGCACTCTTGCTTCATGCCTGTGTGTAATTTTCAGGGTGCGATGTCAGTGGATTCTATCACCGATCTTGATGACAATCAGTCTCGACTTCTAGAAGCTTTGCAGCTCTCCTTGCCAGCTGAGGCGCAAAACAAAAAAGAAAAAGCCAGAGATAAGAAACTCAGTCTGAATCCTATTTACAGACAGGTCCCCAGGCTGGTGGACAGCTGCTGTCAACATCTAGAAAAGTTTGGTAAGTAACATAATCCACTGGTGATCCCGTACCAAAGATACTCCTTTATTCCAGCCTCAGTCATTTAGCTACCCAATTTCAGTTTGTGTTCATCAGATCAGACTCTGGGCTGAAGTATTCTTTGTGAAGGAAGTTTATGGGTGTAAGTTGTTGCTTAAGAGATTACAAGGCCAGACAAGATTGTAGGGAAAAGCCTATGTCAGACTGCTAAGCCACCAAAATTCTTCAGAAGCGAGTCTGGAGGCCAAGTAATTTGGAGAAAGGGTGGGGGTCTATTGGCTGGATCTGCCCCCGGGTTCCCCTTCAGTCAGAGCAGAGACACATTCATTTTTTTTATACTTGGAGGTTACTCGAATAGACGGTGTTCTTTAAAAAAAAAAAAGACTCCAACTGATTTTAAAAAATGTATTGGAAAACCATTGCTTAAATCAATAGAAAAGACATAGCTTTTGACAATAGGTCTAAGCCATAACCCAATGCCATTGCCATTAAGTTGATTTCAACTCCTAAGGATCCTAAGGACAGAGTAGAACTCCTTTTTAGGGTTTCAGAGACTGTGAATCTCTACAAGAGCAGACAGCCTCACCACCACCCCCCAATCCAGCAACGGGTGTATTTGAACTCTCAATCTTACAGTTAATAGTCCACTTAAACTCTTACGATAGGACACCAACTCCTTCACAATACGTAGCGCTCCTTGGAGGCTAGGATGGCCAAACTTCGTCTCTCAGACTTCGGACATATTGTCAGGAGGGAGCAGTCGCTGGAGAAAGATACCATGTTTGGTAAGGTGGAGGGTCAGAGAAAAAGAGGAAGACCCCCAATGAGATGGACTGGCCAAATGGCAGCATCGATGGACTCAAGCGTGACAACAGTAGTGAGGTTGGCCCAGGATCAGGCAGTGTTTCGTTCTGTTGTGCATAGGGTCACTATGTTTGGTACTGACTTGATGGCACCTAACAACAACAAATTGTATTGTGAAAGACGACCACTTAAAATGTCTTCACCGTGACCCTTCTGGAGACTCAGTTAATACATTGGCTTAAAAATAATGGAAAGACAGTTCTCTAAAAAATCTTCTAAAATTTAGACTTTTGACTCCAGCAAACTGCCATTTCCATAATTGGAATGTGTTTGCTGTAATTTAGCCTGCATTTTACGGACTTGAGAAAAGGTTTAATTGTTGGTTTCCTACAAAAAATTATGTTCCCTGACGAATAAAAGCTTTAGAAAAAGGAAACAGAAAAGCAAAGGAAACTCTGAGAGTTACCATGCCACCTCAACTGATGTTGACATTCTTCTATCTTTCCTTCTAATAAGGACTCCTGATGTCACAGTGGCTACAGCGCTTGGCTGCTAACCAAAAGGTTAGCGGTTCAAACTCACCAGCTGCTCCTTGGGAGAATGATAAAACAGTCTGTACCTATTTACAGCCTTGAAAACCCTATGGAGTAGCTGTACTGTGCCCTATAGGGTGGTTATGATTTGCATTTGACAGCAGCCAAGTTCCTTCTAAGAAAAAATGAAGTTAAATATTTTTTTGAGATCTATCTAAATTTCTTAACTCACTATATATGGAAATGGTAGGACAAGATATGGGCGATTTCAATGTCAAAGAATAATGTGTAGGAAATATTAAGTGGGAAACGTATTTGCTTTGTAAACTTTCACCTAAAAAAATTAAATGTTTTTTTTTTAAAAAGTTAACTTAGGCAGTAAAGAGTTCAGTACTGCAACTGTGGGAATTCATCCTAACGAACAGTAAGAAATAGGAAATGTGTTTATAATATTAAATGTTCCCTAGCAAGACTATAGAGAATGAACTTGAAGCATTTTCAAGAGTTTTGAACGAGAAAAACTTCACCCTTATCACACAAAAATCGAGTGCCAATTTGAATAAGAACTTTTGTGAGAAAAAAACAACAACTCCGTGTTTCTTTTTATTTTTATTTTTTCTTTGCCTCTCCCAGCATGTATTATTCCAGTTTGGAATATAGTGTTTTTGTCAGAATTGTTCAAAACCAGGACACCTGACTTTTGTTTGGAAAAGTTCAAATGCAGCTTCAAGCCTCAAGCCAACAAGATAACCTGGCTAACCTTGAGAGGCCTTAATTCTGCTCTGGGTTCCTGAGGAATTTAGAACAAATGTCTTCAGAAAAACAGAAGACATGTTCAAATAATTCCATCAGCTATTAATCTTGCCCTGTGTAAACCAATGAAGGAAAAAAAAAAAAAAGGAAACCCCAAGTACACACAGTTCCTTTGTAAAACAGTGTTTGTCAGATTTGAATTGAGTACCAGAGAACTTGATCCATGTCAACTGTCTAAACATTTGTCAAAGATCTTCTCACCCTCTCTAAAAATTTGTCTCAGAGAGTTTTTTTTGACCCATGTTTATTCATGTTTAAGGAGTCCTGGTGCCACAGTGGCTAAATCACTCCACTGCTAACCAGAAGGTTGGCGGTTCGAGCCCACCAGCTACTTCATGGGAGAAAGATGTGGCTGTCTATTTTCATAAGGATGAGTTCCTTGGAACCTTCTGAGACAGTTCTTCTCTGTCCCGTAGAGTGGCTATGAGTTGGAATCAACTCATTGACAATAAGATATTCTTGACCACAATCCTCCCCGTCTGTATTTCAACCAAAGGGTTTCTAGACCACAAGGGCAAAATGCCTAAGGAAGTCGTTCATTTCCCAGAAGTGTGCATGCCCAGGAGCACAGACATGAAGATAAAGGAGAAGCTGACCGTATTTAGGCTGGTTTTAGGGTGGGGCCTCCTGCTCATTGTGACTGTCCTGTTTTCTTTACCACCTTTCTAGATCTTGTTTCCATTTCATTTTCTATGAAATGGGCATTCTAGGACAGACACTGCTGTACTCTCATGGCTTTGCCTGATAGATGCCTTAAACCAAGGTTTTGAAATGCCTAGGTTGTCCTCTTTTTGAGGACACTCTGTATAAGATAATAGACTAATACCAGAAACAGGCCTTAGAAGCTGTCTTTAGGCTGCCATTTGTT